TTTTTTTTTTTTTTTTTTTGTCCTTTGCTCCCTGAAATTTTAAGTTTGTAAGTAATTTGTACTCTTCCTTGATTGTAATAGGAGGAGCCACCGAAAGGATGAAATTTAATTCAAATTGCTACTATGCTAGGACTTCAATTTCTTAGTGATGACAAATGCCCCTTACAAAAGGACACAGGCCCTCTTTATAAAATCCAGGGACACTTTTGGGCTCTCCATCCAATTGGTTAAAGTGCATTTTCTCCGATCTCAATTCTCTACAGATGTGGCTGTTTTCAATTCCTCCCAACTCCCATCATTGAAGCTAAAAGCCTAAAAATAGACCAAATTAAATTTCGGAGTATAGATGACAAAACAGTAGAATTGAATCTGTTTTTCTGAGATAGCTATATTTGACCTCAGTCATATATAAACTTCACATTTTATACTATTAATAGAGATGAATCACTTCAATATCAGATAGCTCGTTCTCTCATCATCGACAGTATGTTGTGAACAAAGTGACCTCATGCATTGTATTGGTGTACAATAGGGATGATCGATATGGTTCGTACGATGACATTCAACGGTAAACAGTGAAAAGAGTAACATGACACTGAAACCCTGACCATATTTTTCTGTTCATCATGACCCTGTTGCAGCCAAACCACGTGTGTTTTGGCCTCATATTAGATACACTGAGGGCCTGATTGGTTATCTCTTACTTGGAAAGCATTTTTGGAGAAATTAGATACAATAATAGCATAGTTTTTGGCTAAAAAAATAAATTCTTAGGCACAAAAATTAATGGCAGAATATAATTAATTATATTTTTTGTAATTAATTATAATGTTTTAAAGGAAAAGTAATTAATTAAGTGAAAAAAAAAATTGATTACACATTTCCAAATGAAACTTTTTGGGGAGTTTTGAGTTGGAAAGTTTTTCTCTTTACCATAATGTAATTTTTTCTTATATTTTTAGATTTGTTTTCATTTTTTCTTTTGATCAGGTAGATGGTTAGGAAGTTAGTAGAGTTAATTTGTTAGCAGCTGAAATTTTTTCAAGAAAGTGAACGTTCCACCCCCTCATTTGAGGCGCGCGATCATTAGGTCGCAAGTTGGTGGAGTTCATGGCGGTGGCAGAGGTCAGGGCCTCCGCTTCACCCAAACCCTAAAGCTTGGGAGCCAACCAATTGGGTCACAGGCCCGATTGGCAGATTTGTTTTCATTTAATTCAAAATTTAAACTATTAAGTTATTCTCTCGAGGGTTTACCATAATGCATTATATTTGTTTATAATTAATTATTTTCTAAAATACCCCCCCTTTTTTTTAATATAATCAACTACGTCTCACTTCAATTTTTGTATCAAGAAAGTTTAATTTATTGATTCAAGTCAGCTAGAAAAAAAAGTAATGGCTTTCCCGAAAATGCCTTTCAGGTAGAAGTAACCAATAAAATCATGTACAATGAAAGTACTTTTTCATTGTATTTTTATTTTTTATTTTTAAATAAAAATAAAACCCTTTACCAGTTTAGTTCTGAATTTATTTTCTGCCGAAAATAAGCCATGTTTCAATCTTCAATATTCAAAAAGGTTAACAACAGGGCGCCGCAACCATTTCTTTCATCCAACGGCTGAAAAGCTGTTGGGTCAAGACGTTTCCATTTTTTTTCCTT